TCCAAGTCTTTTGAATCGTACTTGAACTATGACATGAACGTTACTAAAAGAAAAGAACGATGTGGAGCGAAGAAACCGTCCAAAAAACTCAAGATTAAAGTAAAAGAGGAGGCAACGAAACATCCTGATGTTAAACCTTTCAAATCATCTGTAAATGTCAGTCCTCAGGAACAGGTACATTTGACTATGATCATAAAATCATATTTTTTGCTTTTAAAATGAGGTGATCAATATTGATTAGTAATCAATCATATTTCAGAGATTTCAGGATTCTGTCATGGAGCTGATGAGCATCCCTTTACCTGCTTCTCTGCCTGAATGTGAAAAGCCATCCTGTGTTGATTACATTGACAGGAAAGGTATAGTATGCATCACAAATACACCTCTATTCTCACACTTCCCCATTTTGTTTTTCACACTTCATCTTTTTGTCTCACAGTTGAGAAAGAGACAGATTTCTGTGACGTCTCCGAGGATTCTGCCATCTTCATTGGTCAGCGGCTCAACAGGAAGATGCAAGTGTACTCAGGCACCAAGACTGTCTTCCTTCCAACCATGCTGAGCTTGTACCAACAGTGTATCCGCACCCTCCAGAACAATATTAGCAGTGAGTAAAGACCACTCTGGCTTTGATATCTTTTGTCAGTTTGTTGGATTTGTATTTAGGTGCAGGGATCTTTTCACAGTACTTCATGAAACTGGCGGGGTCCCATTTGAAATCCTCGAGCCGGTGCTGGAGAGGTGCACGCCGGAGCAGCTGCTACGCATTGAGGAGTGCAACCCAGTAAGAATGTGACTTATGAATAAATTTAGTGCAGACGTAAACACTCTGGGGGCAATTTTATTGTATACACCTGCTGAGACCCCTCCCAGGGCTGGAGGCTTTGCAAGGCATTATAGAGTAACTGAAGTCACTGGTGTTTTCCTAAAACCATTTTAGAGCTGCACCTCCCCTGCAGGAACTTTCTCCTGGAACTAAGAACCTTTGCAGAGTCTTTGTCTTTGTTTCTGCCGCAGGGAGCAGGGTCAAAAGTTCCAGGAAAACCGTTTGAACAGTCTAAAAAGTTCCTGCTTGGGGGTTAGTACTTAATAAAAGTAGAATCTTTGGGGTGGGGCTTGCAGAGCTGAAGATGCCTGATTGGGCAAATCCTCCAATATTTTATTTCAGCTGTCAATCTCCAATCTCCAGAATCAATTTCCTTACTTTGAGTCTAACATTTTGTCTTTTGAATATGCTTTCTTATTAGCGTTCGTCTGTTTTCCCAGCACGATTTTATTCTCCATGTTTATGGTTGTTGGATCGACGCGGTGCTGTTGTGCAGTTTTACGCATTACTGGTTGACTAAAATGGAATAGGATGTTGTTGCCATAGGTTATTTATCAGCAGGCTCATTTGCCTAATCTCCTCTGGTCTGGTGGAAACACATGCAAATAATACCCTGCACAAACAGTTCCCCAGGCTAAAGGTTTCAGGTAGATTTGACCAAACTACATTTTGGTTGATTTCAGGGAGAATTATTCATGGTTCTTGATGAAAAAGACACGTTTATAGGACTGATATTTGAATTTTTTCCAGTGTTAAATTTACTAGATTATGACCAGATAATGGTGTCATTGAGCAGGTTGACTTATGGTGGCCACTGAGTGTGTGTCTAGTTGAGTAAACAACTTCATAGACCTTCAGGGTAGAGATTGTCAACATTGTTTACCATTAACCCTGTAATGAGTTTGTTTCCAAAGATCTACATTGGAGTGACAGACCATTTATGGGGTAAACACTGTCAGAGGGACTTCAAGGAATCCAGACTTCAGGAGTATGAATCGTGGAAAGAGATGTACGTCAGGCTGTCGGTGGAGAGGGAGAGGAAACTCCAGAGACTGACAAAAAGCATCATTTCTGCACATTCTAATAAACCTAAAGGTGTGTGCTTCATACAAAATGTGGCTCTCACTGAAACTAAAACTGATCTTGACAAGTTAATGCTGATCACTGTCCAAAAAACTACATTCATTGTGAAATAAACCATGAAAAGTTAATATTTTATATAGATTGAAAAAGATTTTTTGTCCTAAATGCATTCTGTACCCGTGTGTGGGTTTTTTTTCAGGTCGGCAGGTGAAGATGGCATTTATTCACACTGTTGCCAAGCCACCGAGAGATGTGCGAATTCAGCAGGAGATTCATGGAACTGCTGCACAGCAGCCTCATCAGCCCAGGTGCAGGTGGGTTCAGCTTCCTAAATATAGACATATCTACACAGGTTTTCAGATTAGCTCTTCTTTCTGGTTTCTACTAGTTTGTTCATGAAAATAACACAATTTAGTTGTTTCCTTAGTCTAAAGAATAATAAGCTCTGTACTGGGGCATTGTTTGGCATTCATCTTTGGTAGAGCATGGACACCTAGTGAGACTTGTGGTCGCTCCTCTCCTCAGCTAAATAAAAGCCCTAACTACACATTAAGCAGTCAACAGTAGCAGCTCAGCAGAGTCATAACCTGTCGCAGACTTGTGGGTGAAATGCTGTTTGGGTGACCCAAGCCAAAGGCAGGAATTGGAGCAATGTGCTGGATAAACTGATTTTATTCTTGTTGAACACGGCCTGGGCTCCTTTGTTGTGAACTGTTGCAACATGGGATGTCATGCTCACTAGCCTTGGCATAATGCTGACATCTGGAGGTTGATGGAGACTCATTTTGTAAATTTACTTGCATTGTTTTTTATAATTATTGAGATTAACTAATGCTTGTGCTGGCATTTCCTCAATGTCCAGTGTCAAAGTTGAAGACAACAGATTGCGGCCAAGTTGTAATGAGCCCAGTAGGTCCAGCAGCTCCACTTCAGGGGGAAGCAATACTCAAGACCCCCGCAAAAAAACAAGTAAGCTGACCAGAGACTATTGTAGATGTTGTTTTCCAAACTGGTCTGATTGGCCCGTTCAGATATTACGTTTTTTTTTTCTAATTGTGTTCTTCAGATGAAAGCTATAACAACAAGTTATATGACACTTTTTTAAAACCTGATTCATGTTCCCTGAGATCTGTAATGTTCTATTGTTGTTACAGGAGTTGCTCCAATCATGGCAAAGTCCTTGAAGGCATTTAAGAAGCAGCTGGGACGCAGATAAACGCTCTTACGTGAAGAATGTGGGAGAAGTGCACTTTATCACTGATTAACTTTACTAGGTGTTCACCTTAGATCATTCTGTGTTGTTTGTCTTAATATGAAGGCAATTATCATGTTTGTCTCCATAAATGTGAATTGTCTTCTCTATTAAAAGGACAATAAATCTGCAAATTCACCTGATTTGAGATATTTCTTGTTCCCTGATGGGTTTGTGCCAAACAAGGTCAGGGGTTGGTTATTTGATGGGGTGGGGCTCCCTCTAGAGGATGTATGGATAAGTGTTATTTTCTGTTCATTCCCCAATTTTTCATACAAACTCTTTGCTATACAAAAAGTCTGATAATCTTTATAAATACCATTTTGATATAGTGAATATACTTTGATAACATTCATTTTATCTCCTCCAGCACTACGTTAATAACCCTAATTGTTACAACACACAGCATGAAGTGTTTAATACATTGTTAAATAGTATATAGCAATAAAATTCTATTATTTTTTCATGTATTTATCCTGTTTTGTTCTGTACTTAGGCTATCCACCAAACACATTTTCAAAAAATGTCAAACTATGAAAGGAAAGCTTCTTTTTATTAGAACCATAAAAATCATCATGGATTTTCATGGAGGGGAGGATGGCCATCTGCCATTTCTATCTTCATTTCAAGGACCCTTCCTGTCTATTTCTATTTGAGTGGACAGAGGTGAACAACTGTTTGAGGGAATAATAGAGGGAATGTTCTGACGCTGCTGCAGCAGCCTTCAGCACCATCTGTGGTGAACTACTAAGACTGCATCATTAATCCATTTGTTTAATCCAATGGTTGAGGTGAGCTGTTATGTTTGTGGTACTTGTAAAATATGTAGTATTATCTTTTAAGTAATTAAAAAAGATCTGTATGTTACGGGTGGGGAAAATATATTTTCTCAAATCGGTTTATGCAGGGCATCAAAGATATATGTATATATATTGCTCTATGAAAACAAACTGAGAATTGATGGTCGAGAGATACTGCATCAGAGCCTAAGCCCTATTAACCTTGGAGGATGGCTGCAAAATGGCCTGATGGTTAATGATGCTGTCTGACCTCAAGAGGCCCCTGCAACAGAGGGTTGAAGCTGACCTTGACCTCTGACATGGAAAGGATCTGGCTTGGCAACAGATGAAAAAAATGATTTTTTTTTCACTTACAATTTGAGATGAATGTAACATCTGTGATACAGAGTAGTCTAGAAAGCTCAAAAGTCATGCAAAATGTGACATTTTAAAAATACTTGCATAATTAATGGATACATTCCTGCTTTTGATGGGGATGGCTGGTATGTAAGGCTGGATTACCAACTGAACAAACTGAAGGCAAAACATGAGACAAATATCCAGGGGCCCCAAAATGCCTGGGTCCACTATGCAGCTGCTTCTTTGTGAAATACTGCACGTGTTCAACAGTTTTTTAATTGATTTAATTCTGACTTAAGGAACTGATACATTAATAATGAAATGCTATAATAAAAAATATGATAATATTTTTTTGTGGGCCTAACACCAACATGCAGGTAAAAAAAAGCTAAAATGCTAAAAGAGATGTGAAAAAGATAAAAATACTAAAATAGTGAAATGAAGTGAATTACTAAGATTGATTGAACTAATACATACATTTGAATGAAATTATATTTCCCGAAAAACAGACTTGAGATGTATAAATAACAGACAAAAATAAATACAAGTTCATTAAGTCTTGAGGTGAATATAGCACAAATATGTTGCATCAGTCATATCCAATTTCAAATGAATTAATAAATAAAAAATAATAATAATTTAATAGTCGTTTCATATCGTTTTTGTAGTTTTCCTTCTGGGTGTCTCCCTCAGCCCGGGGGGGCCCTCCTCCCGCGCTGTCCCTGCTCCCCTGTGAGCCAGCATGGCGGCCCTGTGCGGGACGGGACCATCCAGAGGAGGGACCGGAGGGAGGAGCAGCCTGGAACGGTGACGTAGGATCGGAATGAGGGAGTGAATGTTCCGGGTCACAAACTGAACGGGAGAGGAAATTAACGGACGGAAAAAAAACGCGACCGCTTCCCACCTCCGACACGGAGATGTAGCCCGTGTTTTCTTTGACGCTGACAGAGAACCGAGAGACGGAGAGGTGGCCGACGAGAAACAAACAGGTGTCCGAAAAGTGAAGTAAAGTGACGGGACGACGGAGAGAGAGAGGTCCCATGTTGGCTGCGAGCTGACGAGCGTTAGCAAGTGTTATTTACAGCCGGAGTTTCGGTGTTTACTCGCGGGTGAGTATCGCTCCGCTCGGGTTTGTCGGTCAATCTAGTCCCGGTCTGTCTGAGGCAATCTGTTGCATCCTCCTCTTCCTCGCTGTTTGTTTATCGCACGGGTCCGAGGTTTGATTCCCAGCTCCCCCGTCATGTTTCACTGTATCCCCCTGTGGCGGTGCAACCGTCATGTGGAGATGATCGATAAACGCCACTGCTCACTGCTGTTTGTGCCCGATGAGATTTATCGCTACGGACGGAGTTTGGAGGAGCTGCTGCTGGATGCCAACCAGCTCCGGGACTTGCCCAAGGTAAGCAGAAAGAAAAAAAGATTTTCACCCCCCTCCCGCTTCCGCTCAAACCCGCAGGTTCAGGGGCAGGGTACGGCTTATTTTTGGGTCACATGTAACGTGTTGAAGCGGCCCTGACACGGAGCTGCGAGCTGAGCTGATCACACATCCCGTGAGAGTCCGATGGGACCCGGGGACAATAATTATGCAAGATCAGCAAGGCAGGCACACTGTGGAAGTGGAAATTTCCCCTGATCTACACTCCCCACCCACCGCAGGTTGACTCAACGCGTTTGCCAGAGTCAGGGTTCGAACATAAAACACATTTTATTTGAGGCCCAGTGTCCCGGCAGAGCCTTGACATTGTGTCCGATTCGTCAAACCTGTTTGGGCAGGTGATCCCAGAGTCATACCCAGGACTGAACGTGAAGAGCACCTGATTCTTCTCCACTGAACACTGATGTGACAATATTTATGATTCATGCACTTATATTAATCAAAGGTAAAGAATGACTGCACCAGAGCAACATTTATTCCATGATTAAGGTGACATATCATCAGTATGATGAGTGTGGATGTCAAGCAAGTAGAAGTTTCACTTTCCAAATAAGACATCTGTCCCCACAAGGATTATTTTTATTTTCATGTAATCCGTCAATAATTGTAGAGATCACAGACTTCGTCTTCGATGAAAATAGCAATTCAATTTCGTGTCCGTGTGGTGAGCAACCGTGGAGGAACCCATTGACTGAAATGCATAGGCTATATCGACTTTTTAATTTATCTGCATATATATTCATCAGTATTGCTGTTTGTTTTGTGTAGAGAAACGTTTGATTTGAAGCCCCAAAATATTGGCTGTTGCCCCCGGAGGTTAATTTGTCATCAGGCAATGGGAACTGAGATTGGTCACAACTGGACTGTGATGAAAACTAAAAGTAAAATTTGTCTCTTGACTCTCCGATAGATATTCCAGGACAGTAACCCTTTACAGACACAGTGACTCACAGGATGATTGAAGGGATCTATTTTTGTTGAATAGAAATAATGGAGCTTGGTGAGGTGGAGATACAGAAGTCCGGCCTCCTCACTTGTGACTCCATTGCTCTGGATTAAGTGCGACACTAGTTAATGGATTTGCACGTGTGAGAATGGTTCCTTTAGTGTGCGAAGCTGAAGATCACACAGTCTGAACTTTGATGTTTTCTAATATTTATTAATCATAGCCTGGACCAGCTACAGTGAAGGAGAGGATGACGGACTTTGTGGTTTCGAAACATTTTCTCTTTAACCTTTGTTGACAAACTGTTTTTTGTTGTCAATGGCTGTCTCATTTCCACTCTGGAGAGTGCATTTTAAGGCCTGAGTAAATTGTGTTAGTTATTATTACTGTAACCTTCAATGGGGAGGAGTGCGGCTGCTAATATATTGGGTTTACAGCTATTCCTGACAAGTGGACAGAATACGGATTCAGACTTAGGGCCTTGAGAAACTGTCCTGACCTCGGATAACTGAAGCCATGGTGGGTTTAGATGAAAAGCTGATAGGATTGAGGGACTGTGTTGTGCCTTTCTTTCTCTCTGTCTTTCTTGCTTTTCATCTAAGAGAACTTACAGTGAAGCAGCTTGAACTCCATACAGGAAAGAAAGGACGGCAGAAAAAAAAAATTTCTAGGCTTGGCATGCCCATAGAAATGTGATGAAACAGAGATAATGTTAGCAACCTCCCGTGGTCGTGTCACACTGCCTACTTTGTCTGCAGAAGAAAAGACAGGAACAGGTATTCTGACGGAAAACAAAGACGGCATTATGTGTTTTGTTGTCACTCATGCAATTGTATGTGCCAGTGTTTTCTAATGAATCATTGACCTAAATTGAAAAATACAGACCAATAAAACCATAAATCAACACTCATAGCATACACAGTACATCTGACAAACTAACTGCCGGCATAGTTAAAACTCCATCCATAGTGTCTGCAAGAATGTGATTGGCAGGTGTACTCATTGTCAACACGCACACAATAGTTTGACAATTCTCTATCCTCGGTGTGGAAATATTCTAAGTATGTTTAGAGGATAGAGGGGTGTATTTTTGTGCATGCCGACAAGAGAAACAGTGTATTGTGCTCTGGCATGTAACTAATGTCATCAATGCTTGCTGAGTGAACCCAAGAAACATCCAACTGCATGAAACTTCATATCCGTCCACTCCAGCCCTCGCTGCAAGTGTGGCCTCATCGCATTTGCCTCGGAGGTGGCTGACTAAATGCTGACCACTTAACTTTATTATTGTATTGGCAATGATGTAACAAGGCCTTGACACAGTTAACATTTGCAAAGTCAATCATTTCAACCAGCAGGCAGATAAAAACATGCACAAAGGCAAAGATGAAATGGCAAAGGTGTGTTTTTCTTTACGGTAACAAGATGAGGCAAGTTTAACTTGAGCAGATAGCTTCTGTGGTTTTTACAAAGACAAATATGCTGACCGAGTCACGGAGACATGAAGTGCAGCTATGTATGAGTTTGTTTAATGGTTTGGACCTATTTCCTTTTTTAATTAAGTATTATTTGTTCAGAGGTAGTGACTCGTCTCTCTCTCTTTTTTATTCAGTTTCCCTTAAGCTGAATCAGACTGGTTGTTTTTAGTTTATTTTAACAGTAGTCAAACTAAGCAGCTCCAAAGATGTGGAATTGAAGACTAAATGGCTGTTTAAGTGTGTTTGCCTGTCCATCCAGTTTAAAAATGAATGTTGTCTACCTCTCCATTGAAACTTTAAGGCAGAAAGGTGTTGGTTTCTTAGTCAAAGATTTAAATGACCATTTCTTTTCATCTGCGTTGAGTTGTTTTACTAATAACAACTCTTACACCTGCAGTGTATGTGTCTGCATAACAGAATTACTGCAACCTTTCCTTGTCCCACTAGTGTTAGTGAGACACCACTCTGGTAATGCTGATTCAGATGGGGAGGACTGTTCGATGTGCTACCAGCTACATATCCGATTGCAGTTGCACAATGTCAGCATATGGCTTTTGTACGATCCACTTTTCTTTCTCTGTCATCATTATAGTTTTCTGTGAAACTGAAGTGTTCCCACACAGCAGACTTAGATGATAAGGGAGGGTCATCAAACTCCTGTGTGCCTTCGCTAATGTTGTTCCTTGGAATTTGAGTAAGTTGCGCATGTGGACTCCATGCATTTGTTCTATACATGTGTGAACCTAAAGGCCCGTACCCAAAACTAAAACATAACCTCTGTGAAGGTAATGAATCAAATATATTTAGTGTTTGGAGTGAATACATTGTCCATTCTGAATGGAAATCAAATTTACCAGAAATAACTTATTTTCTTGTTGTTTAACTAATAATTGTACAATTTTGAAGATGACTTTACTGTCTTATATGTGCCAGCTTGTTTTCTGGGGTGAATTCTGGAGGACATTTCTTTAAAAGACCAAATGATTAAATGAGAAATGAATAAAATTATTATTTGCAGCATCAGCAGGTGTTTGAGGGGACAATCTGATGTACACAGTGGCGGTGAGAAGAAGAAGTATCTGCTCAGAGACTAGTAGCTGGAGGATTCATGAAATGTGAATTAAGTGGTGGAGATGGTGATTCTACGAACCTCAAAGCAGGAAGCTGGTGGTTGAACTGAGAAACTCTGCTGTGATCAACAATAAGTTACTGCAAAGAAAGAACTGTCATCAAGGGGCAGTGCAGTTGTTGACCTGTGGTTGTGGTTGAGACATTTTATGTCTTGCCTACACTCTGATTCACTTACATCTGCAAATCTAAACTCCACACAAACTCACAGCGAAGCTTTAATTAGTGTCAACTAACCATCGAATACTCATTTCTTATACTTAAGCATGTATTTCTGTCGGGTTGTGGCCTGGAAAAAAGACCAACGTGAGGTTTAATTGATCTTTTTATTTCTACCTCTGCTAAGGAGGTTAAGTTTTCGTTCTTGTCTGTTTGTTTTTTGGATTGTGAGTATGATTACAGATGGAACATGAAAGAAAGAACCCTTTAAATTTTGGCATGGATCAGAATTCGATATTTCCCAGGACATAATTTATGGTTCTCTATTAAAAAATCTGGCATGTTTTATGAACATGTTCATGCAATTGTATGCCGCTTGATTGAATTTAAAGGAACTTTTGAACCTTGGTGGAGGCATGCACTCTTCTGATTGCCATTCTAGCTGTTATTTAAATATATAAATGTAGCCTCGTCCTGGTAAATGGCAAACTCTACAATATGAAATGACATTATCAAATAAATGAACCAACTTTTTAATAAATATTCAACTTTTTAAGGCTGATTTTAATCATGATGGCATAACCTTTCTGTTTGGTTTGTAAGAATATTTAATACTACAAACGTGCACAACGTTAATGGCTTTGTTGACAACCTGCAGTGCACACACTTCCCAAAACCATCAGCAGTGCTAAGGGTGAAACCGAAGGTTCAAATATTGACTCGGGAGTTGGGAGAATGGGTAATGTATTCGTGACTCAGCCTGTTTTGGTTTTGGTGTGTCACACATGGGTGAGTGTTGGGGGCGTGTTGCTCAATGACACTAACAGGACTAACAAGTTTTCTCTCTGTCAGTATGTAAATGCAGGAATCACAAAGCCTTTCACAAGATAGTGACTGAAGAATGGGTTATATATTGCTCATTGTTACTTCTCTTTATATTTACCAAGAGGACTAGAAAAGCATACTGAATTATCTTAATACTTCTGCCTTTTTCTCTCTTGAACAGTGACGGTTTTGAAGTACCTGCATTTGCTTCTTTGAGTGATGCCTCATAAAGTTTCAGTGGCTTCAGTTGAAAGTTAGAAAGTTAACATGTTGGTATTCTAAACCTTAAAAGTTAATTTGCAATATGTTCATGATTTGTCAAACTTGTTTGTTTTCTGGAAATGAACAAGCCTGTTCTAGTCAAGGCTCCCTTGATGATATCATTGAGACAGAGAGAAATCTTAAAGCTGTTGACTTGTGACTGGGAGATCGAGGTAGCAGATAGAGACTGCAGTGACAATTACAGATGGAATAAAGGTTCAAGTTAGGAACTACTTTCAAATGATGTAAAATATCTGAATCTCTTGAGTTTATCAGTTCTTTTTTATCAGTCTTCACTGCTGGAGATTTGCATTAAGTAGGATTCATTGCAAGCTAGTCTTCATTTCATGTAAAAAGATGGAAATTACAGTCTCTGGAAAATTAGCTTTTCAATAAAGTATAGAAACACTTGTAATATGCGGAGGCATTTTACTAGACAAGATGGGTTTAAATTCTGTCATGTATTTGAGACTGCTCTCTAACTAATCAGCATGTTCATTACCAAGGGTAAATATCCTACATTATAATCACTTTAGAGCTATGCAGGTAGAAGTAGTAGATCTTTTATTTGACCAAGAAAAAATAAATCAGAATGAATGCTCCACAAAAAGGATCTCATTCGATGATGATAGACCATGATAGACCATTGCTACAAAGGAGGACCTTTTCTCTACTCTACTGTGGTCAGACTCAAACATCATAAAGCAATTTGTGTTGACGCTGAAAATGTGCCTTGGTCGACTTTTGTTCCCCACACAGAAAATCAATCAAAAATAGTTAAAGGAATCAGACTAAGTAATGGCATTGGTATCAGTAAAATATTACCAATTCCCAGCCGTACTCACAGTGTTTTTTTATTAGACAGTGAAATGTGAAAGGGAAATTTAAGATGGTTAAGCAGTAAAAGCTCAGACAGCGATTACTTGTAGGACTACAGGTTTGTTTGCTTGATGAAATGATGGATTAGAGACTGTTTGAACTTTCTTAAGACCTTGGAATGACACGTGCATTTTGCAACAGGGTGGAGTTTGACTTTTGGACTCTTGGGCTTTATTTATTTTGTACACATTATTAAAATGTGATCTGTTTGTGGACATGGTTCGTGGACAATGAGCTGTGTCTACAAGAGTTTTTAAAATGCAAACACATTTTTCAAATTACCTTTACACCCAAGACTTAAAATGTACATGAGATCTCACAGTAATAAGATTATCGTTTCATTATGTGCTTAGGTTAGTCTAGCTGTCATAGGTTTTTTTCCTTACCCACATTATACATCCAGAAGAAGAGCATGTATACACAGGGTTCTGTATTTAAAGTGGTGGCAATAAATATAATTTCAAGTGGCGCAATCACACATCATTAGGCTGCTAAAGCGTTGAAGTTGAGGCTAATTCTGCAATAATGAGCTGCATTTGTGGTCTCTACACCAAACTGCACCGATGGTGATGAACCTTTCTTTTAGCCAGGGTTGGGCGATATCTTACCATGTCAACAGTGAGACATTGTTATGGACGATGACAATGGAGTAAAGGAAAGTGGGGTTGGGTCAGATCTGCAGGGTCAGACATTATGTGAAAGGGTTAATAGCAATATAAGGATTAGGAGATATTTGTTTATGGCAGGTGCAACAGAGATACTGGTGCCTTGTTGGTCAATTTTAAACCTCAATTCTTTGATAAACATTTGCCCAATGATTTATCGAGGCAGGTGCAAACCAGTCATATGAGTGTCGACCTGAACATATTTTCAGACCAGTTAGTTTTCTATTGATGAGGTGACATTTAGATGAAGCTTCAAGAGTAAGGCAATAGGTAGTGTAAAGGGGAACAACAGGGCAACACCAGCCCAGTTTTCAGATTTTCTTGCAGCCTCAAATGTTCCACCTTTGCATTATCAAACAGGTGGTTGTAAAAAGCTTTTGCAGCTTGAATTAATGTTAGTTACTATGGATTTCAATGGAGACATATTTTTACAACATAAAAAATACATTGTTATAGAGGTATTGAAATTCAGAGACCCGCAGATCAAAAGTCATGTCAGTGTTTGACTGATTGATTGATTGAATAATAAGTAAATGTTTGGTTTTATTAACTGCATTCACTGATATACATTTATAGTGAGACTGGCTGACTTGAAACAGGCAACAGCAAATAAAGCATAAAGGCCAAAGGGGAAGTTTTTCTGTTTTCTGTTTATGCCAAAACTTGAGGGAAACCTGAAACAGCATTGTGAGCTACTTGCTCAATCACCACTAAGGTAGGGCTTTGCCTGCTCTTGTTATGGGTGTCAAGTACGTGCATGTGATAATTGCTTTTGCCCTCTTGGATAACTGCGCCAACTGGATCTTTCTTTCTCATAAACTGACAACAAAGATGGATATTTGTATGTCTACACAGGAGTATTTAGCCTAACCATTTTATGAGTTGTTTTCTTTTTAGTTATAATTTTTTTCAGGAAGGGCTTCTCAGTGAAGTATGAGGTGTTTTTGTCTAACCAATGAATCAAAAATAGACTTTTTTGTCTATTTTTGATTATGTTCCCTTTGTAACAATCTTTGAGAAACAGGAACCTTTTTCCTGTTTCTCAAAGATTGTTACAAAGGGAACATACTCTGAAACAGTTGGGTTTAGCTCCTGTCTCTTTAAGACAAGCTAAGAGATAAAGCCCAGTTTCCTCTGATTGGCCAGCTGGGCCCCTCTGTTCCGATTGTTCGAATGCTTCTAGCGCATATAGGAAATGTCTGTCTCAGTTCTCGCTTTACCTGTTACCATTACTTTTGTTAGGAGGTGTGCCGCACTAGCCGCAGGGCATACATTATGCAAATGGATGGCTTCAGGAAAGAAAAAGCATGTCCAAGTCAGTCGTTATGTATCTTTGCAATAAAGGAATAATAAGGAATAAAAAAATGTTCTCATACTAAATCTTTTTGACCAAAAGTCAATTCCTGCATTCAGCTACTGTCATTTGTCCTTGCAATCCAGATGCATTACTCATTTGATGGTTTCTAGTGAGATTATTTGAGAAAAACGATTGCACTTCACTGTCAACTTACACCTTTATCTTTTTTCGTATTGGACCTGAAGCAGTTTCCATCGTAGCTCCAACTTAAAAGGCTTGTGGGACTGTGTACTGGCTTTAAACATAAAAACTGAAATGCACTGAGACATTATTATTATGTCTGAAAGATTTTACAAGGTGGATGCTGCTTCAAGAAAACAAATCAACAATTTTTACAGGATGCTGGTATAATTCAAACATGTTATTTTTGTTGTGTCTGACTGATTTATTTTTAAGCTTTTTACTGATGACACATCTCTTTTCACTTTGTAGCCATTTTTCCAGCTGGTGAAACTAAGAAAACTCAGCCTGAGTGACAACGAGATCCAGAGACTTCCACCAGAAATAGCAAACTTCATGCAGCTGGTTGAACTGGATGTCTCTCGAAATGGTAAGAAGAGAAAACAGTCATATATAAGTCATATTCTTTTCATTTGCGAGAATGTGCTTATACAGCTCAGTAAGGCAGCACTAAATTCACCAATAGATCGACACTGGCAGATTTACACCTCCTTAGTGAAACTTGTGCAAGAAACAATCATGAAGGAAAAACATGGTTTGCGTTAGTGAGAATATCCCAAGCTGTTTGTATAGACTCGCACATATTCCTTCAGATACAGTGGTAAGTGTTCTCCTACCACAGAGCAGCTGCCTGTTCACAGATGTGGCTGGAGAGAAAAACCAGATTCAAACCAAAAGACGGTGCAGACATTTAACACATTGTTTAGTATATGTTGAATCATGATAAAGTGGAAATGTTTTACAGAGTCTTACATTTGATATTTTATTTAGAAGTGAAACATGGCTAACATAGATACTTTTTATTGCTTATCCCTGTCATAACAAATGACTTTATTGTATACTTTTTAATTTGAATTATTATTTCGATATGTATAATTAAACTACTGCTGATTGTGTTGTGAATTTATGTGTGAATGTTAGAGCATGTTTAAAGACCCGAGTAGAGTGTTGCAGTGTTGTAGTAACGTGTATTTTCTGTTTTTCAGATATTATGGAAATTCCAGAGAGCATTTCATACTGCAAAGCCCTCCAAGTGGCAGATTTCAGTGGAAATCCATTAACAAGGTACTCCCACAGATCATGTGTTTCACTTTTCATAAAAGAAAAACAAATTATCAGTCATATGTAGCACTTTAAAGTGGTCTCTTCTCAAATATTCCCATGTCAAGGATAGTAACGCTGCTAAAACCACACATTTAACATTTGTTGATTTTTATACTTGATATTTATTGAGCTTCTCCTGAGTTATGTTGATTTAAAAATGATGGGAATGAGAAAGTACGTCTTTGAAAATGAATAGAAAATAGTTCTCTTCTTGTGGAGGGGATTTCATATTTCCATTGTCCTCATTGTGCATATCTTAAATCCCTTCCCCTGCTGTTGTTCCTCCCACTACAAACATTCATACACTCTCCTTGACAGAGTGCAGATTTGTGCATAGTTTGCCACTGGTTGTGTGGGTGAGAAGAAGTCTAATTTGCACCCCAGTAGGGGTGAAAAACTAGGAGGCGATGAATAGTATTTGAAAAGCAGTGGTGTTCAATACTTTCTAAGTGCACATGGACACTTTAGTAATCTAATTTTCCATTCTTCCTGTTTTAACAGTTTCATAGTAAAGGTTTGGTCACAGCTGTAGGTGGGCCGGAATATAATGTCATGTTGTGCTGTTATAAATTAATATAAATAACAGTTCTATTCACATATGAAATTTAGATGGAAAATGTCTTTTTAGGTGTGTTTTTCAGCTCCTCATTATTTTTTGTCTTGTATTTAAAAACACACCTTGACAGCATCGTGAAATATGACTATGATGACATTGTCTATGTTATTAAAGGTCATTTTAAGATTGATGGTAGGTTCCAGTTTAAAATTCAGTGGTTGGACGCTGTGTTTATTTTACTAAGTTTTAGTTTATACGAAGCTCCTTACTTAAGAACAGCAGGCTGCAGGTGATGTCTGGTCAGTTATTAAAACTTGTTGATAGCTTTCCTGATCTCTGGCTCACGTTTGTTCGAAATATTTTTGACAGTCTAGTTGTAAGCCACTCACATTTGTGTAAGATGCTCAAATGCATTTACATGCACATTAGTGGTTTCCACCAAAGTGTAGATAACCAGAGCTCAAAGGATGCAGACATACTTTAATTGTTGTGGTCACAGATCAAAGTGAGACCACAACTAGCATCTAAGTGGTCCCATCCGGCCATGCTGCAGTACTAAAGAGGATAATGTAAGCAATTAAAAACTGAAGAAAAAGTTTTGTCTTGAAAAAGGTCAGGATGGATTCACTTAGAATTGGGAGTGGCTACATATTATCTCTTTTTAGGAGACCTGAGTACACTGACTTGCCTAAAGAGCTGATAAACCCTTGCTCAACACTGCTTACGATTTTGGCAGACTTCCGCAGTTCCTCCGTATTTTCCCCGGAGGAGGTGCATGTGTGAACACAAATGTCAGAGTGAGGCGCTCCATAATTTCTGCGGACTTTATCCACCTGGCCTCCTAGTATAAAGTCCGTAGAAATCCAGAAGAAGTCGATATGTAACCAATGTTTATCTGTGCTGTTTATGTCAAAAGGCATTCACTTTTCTGCTGACATCTCACACTGTGTCCACTTTCTGTGCCTGTTTTTTTTTTTTTTTACAGGTTACCTGAAAGCTTTCCAGAACTGCGGAATCTAACATGCCTTTCCATCAATGATATTTCATTGCAAGTTCTTCCAGATAACATTGGAAAGTAAGTGCATGCACCATTTCATACCTTTGAAACTAAAACATTTCCACGTAGTTTAATGGCGGAAGTGTAATTGTTCATTGTGACCTGATGTGACTAATACCTGTATTACTCTGAACAAATGGTGAAGCATTAGTGGCCTGGAGTCCATATAAAGTAACATAAATGTCAAAGCACTTTTGTCACAAAACATCCTACACGTCCCTCTCTCTCTGCGTTTCACACACTGTCTTGTCTTTTTGGTCATTTCTGAGTCTAAAAAAGAAATTGGTAAATTCAAGAATCTGAATTTTAGGCCTTAAAAAGTCTTAAATATAATAAAATATTAAGTTGAGGTTAAAAGACATTTATGAAGGTCTTCATTCTGTTAATGTAAATTTTTTGCTACTTCTGTCGGTTTTAGTCAGATAATTTTTTTGGCAGCTTGCGTAGTTTGTATCGTCACCATGTGTTGCAGTTCTTTGTCAGTGATATACATATCAGCACACTGTAATACCACTACAAATAAGACCAACATGGAACTTATAACTGTCTACTCACACCTTGGTCAGAATTGATCTCAGTACTCTACAACAGTAGTTGGCTGAGGGAAAGACTATAGACACCCACTGTCTCTGCCTGTAGTTAGTAGAGTGATAACGTGTCGTATGGAGGGTTATTCTCCATTCGGCTACTTCACCTCATATCTAATTATGTGAACGTGTGAGGTATTCTGGGACTCAGATATTCCTTCATATCTGTCGTACTCGACCTAGTTCTTTTAATTCATTATTAAAAGTCTTAATTGAAACTTGTTGAAACCCGCAGAAACCTTCTTCGTCATGTTTCATGATCATTAATACCTCTTCCTACCTTCTGTAATAAATACTATTACAGTACGGAAATAAACTCATGCAGCAATCATGTCCTTTTCCACAGATTGAAATAATTTCTCCATCCTAACCACATTACTCTTCACAGACCCATCAGTCACTGTCCTCTCCTTGGCCGTTTTGTTCTTGTTCATAAAAGGCAAAAAGTCTTGTTGTGAGATGGCACATAATCTCGAGCAGTAAAAACTCCTGTCTGCCAACATTCTTATTCATATTAGGTCTCCTTTATTGACGAGTTCAGTTATAATTGTATTTAATAACAGAAGTATGTGCTTTTTGGTCAATTTGCCACAAGGCATGTTTTTAGTGAAAGTTCAAAATTCAAGGGAAACTGAAATTGAACTTTTAAAAGGATGAAGTTACTCCAGATGAGGATTTAAGATTAGAATTTGTTTTAAATAAACATCTTGATTTATGATACAGAAATAAAACTGATAAAAACAGAGGTGTTGTTTGAAGGCACTTCTTGACATTGATTAATGACGTTGTCCAGCGGCTTGTTTAAAGGGTTTTTGGCCGTTGTCTGTACGGCATATTTTAACCATTAGATAACTGCTGGAGCTAAACTAAACACAGATTTGTCTCAGTTTGCCACGGTGCCATAAATTAAGGATTATTGCTTAACCTCTCAGAGATAATGTAAGAATGGTGGATGATGACAGCCTGACTGCATGATTTGGGAAGAGTTGTCATGACTGCAGACCTATAACACTGTACCGCTCAGATAGTGTTTTAGGTTTAATGTGATGTTATACAGGGTGATGATAGACATACATTAGATTATGACCTGAATAAGATTATGAAAGACCCAACCCACCAGATAGATTCTTGTGATGAAGATCATTGATTGTAAACAAACTTTAAACACACTTTTAAAACCAAACAAAATAAAGATTTAAAGTTATTGGTTGCTCTGGATATTGCTTAATATTGTTTTGGAAATTTCATCAATAATACTTCTGTCATGTTGTCTGGACTCTTATAAACCATGTGCTTCCTAGCAGAAGCTTTTTTACAGCATTTAATACTTTGTCCTCCCAAAAAAGAAATATTTAGAAAAAAATGCTTCCTTTCAGAAATAGATGTTTTGCACCCTTCTTACTTTACAAAGCCATTTGTCATATCGTTCATGTTGTCTGCCATGGCAACACCTACAAACTGAACTGATTTACATTATTTTGAAAGACGCATTAAATTTTTCCTCCCGAGTCACATAAAGTTCAAGAGGATCTCCTCTCACCTATTTCCTTAAAGCGCAGCATGTGCCCCAGATATGCCCTTTATCTATCTTACATAACGCGGTGAGTTAAGGCCTGCTCTCTGTCAAGAGAAGAACGTAATGAAAACCGTAACACAGTTGGAGAAACACGCCGTGGGTTTTTAGACGTGGATAAGATAAATGTTGAAGGGGTTAAATTACATCAATCATCTCCAGGGGTGGGAGTGTTTTCCAACCCCCCAAAAATAAATGGTGTTCACAGAAATCTGAGACGTCTGATGAGATGGGTGGTTGTTTACATCTTTTAGCTGATCACTAAGACCAGATTTCAGACAGACCAAGCTACAAGATGTTGACTGTCTTTTATTCTCTGGCTGGGTGATCTGCTGTGGTGAATGAAAAACACAGACATGAAGAAAGATGAACTAAAAGTAGCAAGAGATAACTGGTTTAAACACGCTTAGGTATGGAAACAATGCCACTGTTATAGATAGAATATGTAACAATTCTTCATTAAAATGTCTAAAAACATTTCTATGTTGTTGACTTGTGAACTTCAATTATCCAAAATGTTTCCAACAATTTTGCCCGTCTTTGCTATAACCTCCAGGGCAAACAACATATGACAAAGGAAAAACACACAGCTAGCCAGTCTGCTTTTTATTGCTTCCACTAATGGATCACATGTATTCAATACTGTTTGTTGTGTAATGTGAAATATACTTCATCCGTGAAAATAATTTGCATCTGAGTCATCTCACGGTGGTGAAGATGAACTCCCATGATCCCACGCTGCTTCGTCTAAATAGGTCTTTTGTTTTTACGTTTAAGGCTTTAGAAACAAGTCATTAGCAAATTTCTAACTCGTGTGTCTTGATATTTACGATCAGGAAAAATGCTGTTGAAAAACAAGAAGAAAGTTTTATTCAGTCTGGGGTCATTAACACAATGGACTTTGTTCTGTGATACGTGACTGTTGTCATAAAACCTCCAGTAATTGGTTACTTGCACAACACTGAGGCCTAAATTCACAGCCCTGTACTGTACACGTTTTAGCTCTTCATTTAAACCTTGCAGCCGTTGTTTATGCTGCTGCAATTTTCACGACCCTGATAAGAGTGACACACCTCTGAACTACTTCCTGCTTTCTGATATCTGATTGTGATGTGATGTTACAGAGCGTTATTTAGCTGTTATTGTTTTAGAGACATTCTAAAACATCAAGAGCATCATGTGTAATGTTTATCTGTGTTTAGAGGAGAAATGAGTAGAAGTTTGTAGAGTAACTGCTGCTTTTGTTTTCAGTGCTAAGTTTAAAAAGCGTATAATAATGATTATATAATTATTGTTTTTGTTCATCATTACAGCCTTTCCAATTTGGTATCACTAGAACTCAGAGAAAATCTGCTCACATTCCTACCTGAGTAAGTATTCAGTCAACTGCACTGTAGATAGCTCTAAACATGTATGAATTGTTGTATAATATTTCTCCAAAGTTAAGTTGTGTGCTTGTATAAGTGAGAAGCTTTAAACCTACATGTAAAGGCTGTTAAAGCATTTAACATGCTGCATTTATATTGGGACTTTGTTAACCTCCCTTCCATCTGTCACCCTCAGGTCACTATCTCTGCTCCATAGACTAGAAGAACTCGACCTAGGAAATAATGAACTATACAATCTGGTAAGTGTTGTATTTGTTTCAGTCAGAGGAATAACACGTGGCCAAACCGAGCAGAACAAAACTTTTTCTCCCATTTCCTTGTTCTTGCCATGTCCAAGTAGATTAGCATCCCTCGAGAACAGCTTTCACCTCTTATCACGCAGATGGGAGGAGGACCATCTGCTTTGAGCTCCGGTTTTAAGTTGTAATCTTATGTGAGCCATCTAACTCCGATGGTGAATGATTTACTCACAGATCATGCAAAGTCAGACTAGAGTGCTGAAATGGCTTTTTATCTGCTTTAGACTTCATACCTCAGGTTTTTCTACATCAAAATAAAGTATTTAAGTCTTTGGTAGTTTTTTGTACTCACGGTTGTTGTAATTAACATTTGAAAAATCACACAAATTAAAAATGTTTCAATGCTTTATGGCAGCAATTACATACAATAAATAACTTAAAGGCAGCCATTATGCCTTTAAGCAGGCCAAAGGTATATAATACCCTCGTGAAGTTACAATGTACCTTAAAACATGAATAAGTATCGATTCAAGTATGTTGTAGACTTGTGGAGCCATTATTTCATTTTAGAACTTTAAACTCCTGTGGTTTGCAATTTGCTATGTGTGAACCATGATTTTGAATTAAAGAAAAATATTGTCAATAATATATGTCTGCTTTGTTGTCTCTGTCTCTTCTTTTTTCCTGGCTCTCTCTCTACATCTCTTCCCCCCACACAGCCCGAGTCGATAGGCTGTCTCGTCAGTTTAAAGGACTTATGGCTGGATGGAAACCAGTTGGCTGATATACCTGCAGTAAGCGATGCATGCAAAATATATTTCTCTTATTAATATAAGTATCACACACACACCATGAAGTGACTTTCAACAATGAAACTAAATAAGTGTGACAAGAAAATCAATGACTTGTCTTGTAGTCCAGCTATTTACTGCATGTTGCCAAAGCCTTAATGTTGTGTCTGATTATAAATTCCATGCAGTGATTCAGTTATAGATCTAAAGGCTAAAGTTATCAGAGCAGACAGATAACCCTTGTGTCCTGAAATTAAATGAGGCATTCGCTATCTCTGCTTCTTTAGATTCTATTTGCTGCTGTATTGTTGTAACAATAAGTGTGTGCTCTGAACCTCAGGAGATGGGCAGTATGAAGAGCCTGCTGTGTCTGGATGTGTCTGAAAACAAACTGGTGCACCTCCCTGAGGAGTTGGGGGGGCTGCTGTCACTGACTGACCTGCTGGTTTCTCAGAACTTCATTGATGCTCTACCTGACAGCATTGGTAAGCATGTGCATCTCCCCAATAATATTTTTATAGGTTTGTCTAATAGGTTATATGTCATCACTAGGTAATTCTCACATATGGGATAATAGACTATATATTTTCCCTCTAAATTTTCATTTGAAAGGCTTATCAGCTTTTTATATGTGAAACTATATGTGAACTGTATGTTGTGAAACAAGGACAAATCCCTCAGGACTGGTACTGTTGCACTGCTTGTAGTCATATATTGGATGATTTCTTTATTTTGCTCCTCTGGCTAAAAATGAAAAGCAATTTTAAAAATCAGCAACAAAAATTTCCCACAATGTCACAGTAACCCTGCCTCGTTAGCCTGCTCATAACTGTCGCAACAAGGTTTAAAATATCTAAAAAAAACATTGTGTTCCTTTCCCCGCAGGAAAACTACGGAAACTTTCGATCCTGAAAGCTGATCAGAATAAACTAACTTATCTCCCAGAGGGCATTGGCAACTGTGAAAGTCTCACTGAACTTGTGCTCACAGAGAACCATCTACAGGTTTGTCTTCAAAATGAAATGGGAGCCCTTTGGTATTAGTACTGCCACAGGTTTGCTGTTGTACAGACTGTCTAGTTACATTGTTTAAATTGTTTACTGAGACATCCGTTGCTATGCTAACATATTACACGTTTTTAAATTTAGGAATTAATAGACTTTATATATTTTTAAAATAAACCCACCCATTTTATCAGTTCAAGTTCTGTATGGTGTGGGTCAGCGTGCTTTAGCTCTGAGTTCAGGTTGAATTAGTCAGTCTAGTTTTTTATGAATGCCTTTTTTGCCACTGATGCACATTCATGATAGAGTGAGACAGATTTAAAGCCATATTCAGGTGAATCAAACATTCTGACTGTCTGTTTCCTGTCACTCCTCTTTGTCTAAGCACAAGAGCACTGCATCAGTGATGACACATCAACACAACTTGGTCGTCTATGCTGTTCACATTTTATGAATAAATTGACCAATGTGACAAAACTTATCTTAACACGGATCTTAACACATTTTTTCTAAGGTTGTTTTTTAATTTTTTTTTATTATTGCTACAGGGTTTGCCAAGGAGTATTGGGAAACTAAAGCTACTTTCCAACTTCAACTGTGACAGAAACCAGCTAATGTCGTTACCCAACGAGGTGAGTTTACCAAATATCAACTCCTTTAGAATGAAAAGCAGTGTGAGTTGAGAGGTACAACCACAAAACTTACAATGGAAAAATGTACGTACCAAAAGTGTCTTTCTGTCCAGAGATAACTCTTCTACGAATACATACATAGCAGCCAAGTTTGAAATATTTAGTGCCCGAGCACAGAAATGATTCAGCCCAGACTGGTACTTTTCCTTTCCTCACCAAAGAAATCAGAAAGACCAATGAACCATAATCACACTCAGAATTATCCTCCTAGTGATTAACTGACTAATCACGCAAACATCTTACATTTTGTATGTTTTTATAAAAGGTTGAATTTAGGTCTAAAAACTACAAATCCACAGAAACAGTAGCTGTAACACTTGTCGTCTGAAGGTGGTGCAAGGGTCAACATTTTCTCTACATCTGCAACTTTTCTTGTTGCAGGTTAGACAAGAACTGCACCTCTAATCTTCTGATTTTATTATAAACGTTTTAATTATATATTATCATTTTTCTAAACCTAATGTTTAATTGCAAGAGTTAAGAGGGATGGTGAGATATATATAAAGTTCCTTCACGTGTTGGATCAACAACAATGCTCTACTGCTCAGTCCTCTCGGTTTGCTCAGCTCCGTCTGAGTGTCTCGGTTGTTTTTCTATGTGACGTGCTTTACGAGCCTCTTGTCTGTTCCAGTGAGGGCACGGCTGCTTGAAAGCTCCATCTGAAAGGCTTCTTTAGACGTCGTACAATGAGCCTGTGTCTTAATGATGCAAAGACTACAGTGTTTAGAGAATAATAACAGTCCAACACACTTGGTCTGGATAATGAATCGATGGTGTCACTGTTTTCTTAGACCAGCTTTGCATGACATCTCTCAACAATCATAGTGTAACCACGGCTCATGTATTGATTTATGCTCTGCTGAGCTACTTGACCATAGGCTCAGTTTTATGGATTTCAATGATTGTTAATTAGCTGCTCTTGGCACTTTTTTCTTTGTTTACACTCAGATAAAATCATATTACTATGAATTAAAAATGATGCAAAACCTTTTGTTTGTTCGTTCTACTTAATTTATCGTTGAGTCTACTCGGTCCTGTGAAAACATTGAGCGCTTAATCATATTTACTCATGTAGATGATGAGCTTAACCTGCTCCTTTTAACATGATGAATCTGCTGGTATCCTGCTCCTGAGCAGATTAATAGATTACAACTGCAGTTCAGCTGCACCATCAAGTCTCTGCCTTGTCTGCTTACCGGGACTAATTGTTCCTAATTTTAGGTCCCGCTGGCACAGTCCATTGACATTTAGTCAGCCACTTAGATCACCAATTCTGGGACCACATGCACAAATAGTGACGACCGGTCCTTATATCAAAATGTCAAGATTTATTTCATATGTTTTTAGACTACATTAGACCTTTTTCTCATATTTGCTCACTCAGACATTTTCATGTCATTAATTTACAGACATTTAACTAGGTGGAGTGGCAGATAAGATGCCCTAAAATGTCCAGAGTAACTGATTTGGACATTTGTGATCCTGCATACAAAATTTCAGGAGCCTATGTTTTTTTGCTTCACTACTGTTACTGACTTTTAACCTAATCATTATGTCTCCAATCATTTCATAGATTGGAGGCTGCAGCAGTCTGAATGTCTTCTGCGTACGAGAGAACAGACTGACAAGGATACCGTCAGAGCTGTCACAGGCCACAGAACTGCACGTGTTGGACGTCTCTGGAAATAGGTACATATGGTTGACATATACCAACTTCTCAGCAAAAGCACTCTGCGTGAATCTGAAGACTGATTCTTCAGAAATTATATAAAACAGCACAATTAAACCAATGTTTTTATTCTACAAAAATGAAAAAAAATATTATTTTATCATAATTGACAAATATGTGATTATATACTTTTCACTTTCGGAGCTTTTGACAATACATTACTCACTCACTATCAGTAAGAGGTGGTTCTGTTTCTGATTCACTGTGGCTACTGGCTTTGATTGTCTTTAGCACACACACACAAACACACACACACCTTTAGACCTTTAGCACAGCAGTGTTGTGACAGTAAGAACCTGCAGGTATCTCGTGGTCTCTTAATGTTTTACAGTTTTTGATATGAGTTGGTTAGTGATTATTTATATTTCCTTTTTGTTTTCAGGCTCGTCTACTTACCCATGTCGCTGACCACTCTACGACTGAAAGCCTTGTGGTTGTCAGAGAACCAGTCGCAGCCTCTCCTCACCTTCCAGACTGACGAGGATCCCGACTCAGGCGAGAAGGTGCTCACCTGCGTGCTGCTGCCTCAGCAGCCGTGTGAATCAGACCATAAAGGTAATGTCTGTAACAAGAGGAAGCCTAAGATAAGACTCACAAGGTTTGAATAACCAAATCATAAATTCAGGAGCAGTAGATATTTACACTCACACTGGACTGGTTTATGTTTAATTGATGTGTTCATAAGCAGTGCTTCTTTGCATATGAACTTTTTGTATGTATACATACATGTATGTATATTATGCAAGATCAGTGTCTCCATGCTCCTAATGTGTCAGGCCTCTCCTACATCAAAAGGACTCGTTGCCAGCGCTGCGACATTTGAGAAATATTCCTCATCGCTTCTTGCATCATCTCCGCTTATTTAGTGCCCTGTAGTTTTGGTGACATGATCACATGATCTGCTCGGGGAAGCACAGTATGTACGGTGCCCTCTGATCCTTCCCTGCAGTATCTGTCGATTATGAGGTCCTGTAAGGGATCACAGCTCTTCTAACAGATCAGGCCCCCTCCTGTCCCTTGAGGCCCTCCTTGGTTATGTTTTTCAGAAATGCGGTGGATTGGACAGCTAAAGAGGCTTAGCAGCAGCGGCTGGCCGGCTGCCATTAAAAGCCGGCCCACTGGGTGTAGAGATGCGGCTGAGGGGCCAGCTCTATCACTGCCTGATATGACCGTTTATTGTAATTTCTTTTTTTTTTGCTGTCATCCACAGACTTGCATGTAAATCTGTGGAGTGTTTGCGATTCGCTGCAAAATGCTTCATATCAATGTAGTTTGCATTTAAAAAGATTTTCTTTGGGGGAAACAAAAGAAATTTGTTTCTCCACCAAAAAACATTACAGAGCATTTATTAATTTAATTTCTCTCTCTCTCTTGTCGGAGAGATGCAGCTGTAAGATGGGTGGAGGTCAGATGTGTGAGGCTGAAACTGAAGTTGGGGGCAGGGAAGATTGCGTTGCTGTAAGCCTGTGACTAAGCTGGGATTTGAAACTGTGATCTGGCAGTTTCAGGCTCTCTCATATAAGTGCTGGGTTATGTGACAGCTTTCATTTCTTGAGTAGGCAGAGAAGCAATCTATAATTTAATCTCCCAAAGATATTCACCTCAACAAATTAGTTTTTTGTGCTTGCATGAATTCCAGCAATATAAATCTGTCTTGTCTCTTTAAAAACTCCAGGGTCTGACAATCTTGCCCGCTTCGGAGCCCTGGAGAGTCTGGTGAATGAGATGGCAGACGACACATGGGACAACAAAGCCGTGAACAGGATCAGTGCCATTCACTTCCTGGATGATGATGAGGAGGAGGATGACGATAAGGTGAGAGCACGAGCTCCAGAACACAATGTGGCAAATTGTGATAAATAATAACCCACTTTGATTGTTACACTCAAACCGAGAACATTTGTCGTCAGGCAGTTTGCAATATGCCATGAAATCTCCATTAGGATGTTATAATGTAGTTAAAGTTGTATACATGTCTGCATAATACAACTAAAATTGGAATACGATTTGATTGTTGCTTATTCAGAGTATGATCTTAATCAGGTTAAGGTAATGGGAAAGTGATTTTTACATGACAGTGTCAAATATTGTCTTAAGGAAGTGAAAAAAAAATCCCTAACCCCCATGATGTGGATCTGCACCAGGGATTCATTCTTGATCAATACTACATTCTTCCACCAAGTTTCGTAGTAAACCGTCCAGTAGATTTTGCGAAATCTAACTTACAAACAAACAAAAAACCAACCAACAAACAAACGTACAGGGGTGAGAACATAACGTCCCTGGGGAAAGTGGCAATAACTCTTTTTGCTGCAGATACAGCAAAAGTACCAATAATGTGAATCTGTCATTCACACAGGGAACTCTCCTGCGGCGGGCCACGCCTCACCCCGGCGAGCTGAAGACGATGAAGAAAGCTGCTGAGAACCTCCGCAACGACCTGAACGCTGCCAAAGGCCTGGACTCCAACAAAAACGAGGTCAATAACGCTGCAGACAGAGTGACCACGTCTGTGTGACCTTTTTTTGAATTTTTTTACCTCAGAAATGTTTTTTACCTCCTGTGTGTCACCGTGTTGTCCTGCACAGACCCTGCAGCCCCCTCCTCTCCTTTTTTATTATTTTACCCACAAACCCCCGGTGTGGCCTCCCCCTCCTCTGATTATACCCTGGGACGCCTGTAACCTTACTCCATCACGAGTCCTGTGTAAAAAGTCTTTGACTCAGTCTACCAGGGCTGCTGTGCCTTCCTCTTTTTAATGAACGTCCACAGCAATAATCTGCACAGAGATGCTCCTTTTAAAAGATATTTTAATGATTTCGTTTATTAGGTCCATCGGTACAACGCAGCTCAGGCGAACTCTCAGTCACAGCAGAACGTTCACACCACCACGC